CGATTGATAGGCTAGCGATCGATAAACATTGGCAATCGAAAAGCCGATAAATAGGCTAGCGGTCGATAAAGTGTTAAAGTCATTCGTAGCGCGGCGCGGAAGGAACTTATGGGACACCCTAATATATCTGTAACAATTATTTGGACGGCCTGCTGCAGAAGATTAACAGGCGAACCACCTACGACTCGTAACGACCACCTGCCCAAGGGACCAGGACTACGAAACAACGGTTCCTAACTACCCTATTTGGTGGCGAGGCGACTTTTGCGGTACAACAAGCCCAGGTCATTCGGATCGTCAACGAAGGGAACGGCGAAGGCACGCGTGTCAGCAGCCCGTATTTCCTTCTGCTCATCAATAGCGGCTAAGCGTGAATCAGCTCAGATAGGCCATAGACCCACCATCCATTTCCTTCTGTCCCTTACCTGCCTTCAATTACGTCAAAACAATGTCGGAGGAGGTAAAAAAGCTTGTAAGGCAGCGTACATCGTTCAAGGCGCAATTGACAAGATTCTCCAATTCTTTAAATTCGGAAGATTGGGATCTTGAAAAACTTGAGAAGCGCGAAGAAAAATTAGAGCAGCTATTTACAAGCTTTTGCAACATTCAATTGGAAATTGAAACTCTGGAAGACAACCCAGAGCACGAAAACACACGCGATGAGGTGGAAAAGGTTTATTATAGGTGTAGCGATTATATTAAGGATATGAAACATAAATTACCATCCCTTTCGGAGAGTACAGTCTCGTTAAATTCTATACCCGCGTCATCGCTAGTCAAGGTACCGTCTCTGTTGCCAAAAATTCAAATTAAACCATTTGATGGAAGCTACATGGAGTGGAATAGTTTCCACGACATGTTTCTCAATTTGGTGCATGAAAACGAATCTATACCCGCCGTACATAAATTCCATTTGTTAAAATCTTACTTACGCGGTGATGCGTTAACAGTGATTGAGGCATTGAACGCGACGGAGGAAAATTATGGGGTAGCATGGAGCCTCTTGCAGAAGCGATTTAATAATCCACGAAAAATTATTCATTCACACATTCGGGCTCTACATGACCTACCCGAGATCGATCGGAATTGCCCATCGGCTTTACGTGGTTTGGCGGACTGCGCGGAGATGAACATCAACGCGTTAAGATCGCTTAAAGAACCGGTCGACTGACACGAAATGATGATATTCATAATTACCGCGAAATTAGATAGAACTACGCGCATTCATTGGGGACGGTTTATTGGGAACGACAGTCCTACCATAAACGACCTATTTAAGTTCATTTGTAATTTTTTTTTGAGCCTGTAAGTCTCGCTAGTGTTAAATCATCCGCTGCTAGAGATAAACGCTTCGTAAAAACTAAGCAAGACGCACGTAAATCCTTGCTTAGTGCGAAGGACTCCTTTAATTGTCCAATGTGCAAACAAAGACATTTTATACAGTCTTGCGAACAGTTTCTACAATTAGATGCCCGAGCCAGAATGCAGGAGGTAAAACGGGCTAAACTCTGTTTAAATTGTTTCCGTCCAGATCATAGAGTCCCTATGTATGTAGAGTAGTTGTGGTCGATGCGACGAAAGACATAATACCTTGTTGCATTTCGAGGAGGCCAACGCGTGTCAGGTAGACACTGCAAGCACTCCCAAAGAGGCCGAACAAGGATCGTCAGGTGCGGTGACGTTGTTTTCTCAGGAAAATGCAGAAATTCTGTTATCCACAGCACGAATTGTGATTCTGGATAAGAACAACAGGGAACATCATTGCCGCGTACTACTCGATCCCGGTTCTCAATCGAATTTTATCACAGAAAAACTCGCAAATACTTTAGGTTTAAATTTGCACGCAATCAATATGCCAGTTACGGGACTCGGGAATACTAGTAACAGTATTAGATATTGCGCAAAGAGCACTATTAAATCTAGAATAGCCAGCTTCTCGGAAAACGTAACGTTTTTAGTATTACCATCAATAACGGGTCGTCTACCCTCTCGCCACGTAGATCGGTCAGGTATACCCATTATACCGGAATTCAATAAACCAGCAGCTATTGAAGCTCTGCTAAGAGAATACCTCTTCTACAAGTTATTATGCGTAGGACAAATCAGGCTACCTAATGGGAGGTGCGTATTACAAAAGACGCGATTAGGCTGGCTAATCTCGGGAGAAACCGATTGTCAGCACAACTCATTTAGGAGCGCTAAGTGTCATCTGGCCAACCACGATCTCAATGATCAGGTTGCAAATTTTTGGAAGATAGAGGAATGTCCAAGTGAAAAGCATTTTTCCGTCGAAGAGAAGGCATGCGAGCAACACTTTCAGGACAATACGTATCGCGATGAGCAAGGTCGGTACGTAGTCAGACTTCCTTTTAATAAGACCCTATCTCAATTAGGAACTTCAGGTAAAATGGCATTGAAACGATTTTATACTCTTGAAAATCGCTTAGAGAGTCAGCCTGAATTAAA